ACGGAATAACGTCTCCCACTTCAGAGAATGTTGCTCTAGACATTCTACATTTTATCCTCACATTAAGCCAGACTCTCAGAGAACAGCATATCTGGATCTCACATTGTCGGGTGCTCACAGAAGAGCGTTTGCTATTCTGTGATTTGTTGTTTGTTCTCAGCCTGCGTGAGGGTTGTTTTAAAGAAGAGGTACAGGAAACTTTCCATTAGAATCATTGTGGGCATTTTGTTGATTATTACTTAATAAGCCCATTATAAAGACCCAGAAAGAAATTTCTACTCTGTGCTACAAACCCATATATTCATTTCCCATGGTTGCTGATTCATGTTACAACAAACTTGGTAGCTTAAAGTAGCACACATGTATTATCTTACCATTCTGGCTGTCAGAAATCTGAGAACGCTCTCATTGGACCACAGTAAAGAGGCTGGCAGGGTCGTGATCCTTTCTGGAGGCTGCAAGGGGGAATTCGCCTTCTTGCCTTTTCCAGCTCTTAGAGGCTGCCTGTGCTCCTTGGCTTATAGTCTGCTGGGGTCTTCAAAGCCAGTAATAGTCTGTCTGTCTTCATCATGATTCCAACTCTGGTTCTCCTTCTTCTGACTTCCATGTTTAAAAGACCCTTGTGATTACAGGGGCCCACGCTGATAATCTGGGATAATCTTTTTATTTTGAGGTCAACCGATTTGCAATCTTATATCCCTCTGCAACCTTAAATCTCCCTTGCCATGTAACTCCACATATTCCTGGCTCCAGGGAGTAGGGTGTGGATATGTTTGGGGAGCCATTATTCTGTCTACCTCAATCCAGCATACACTTTGCTCTTTTTGATTTGGCTTGTTGGATGCTCAGTTATCTAGTAGTTGTACAGAACTTCATCTTATTTTTTAATCCTTATTTTCCTTTTTTTCTATAGTCTAATTTGCTTCTCAAGTTCATGTCATTATGCACACACACACACACACACACACAAACACACGAACACATGCCATATCAAAATGTAATCAAAATAATCATATTAATAATGGATCCCAAGAGCAGGAATTGGCAAACTACAACCCACAGATTAAATCTGGATTCCCTCACTCTGTCACCCAGGCTGGAGTGCAGTGGTGCAATCATCGTTCACTGCAGCCTTGACCTCCTGGGCTCAAGAGATCCTCCTACCTCAGTCTCTTGAGTAGCTGGGACTACAGGTGCACACCACCTCACCCACTTACTTTTTAAATTATTTGTAGAGACAGGATCTTGTTATGCTGCCCAGGCTGGTGTCAAACCCCTGGGCTCAAGTCCTCCTCTGGCCTTGGCCTCCCAAAGTACTGGGATTATGAGCGTGAGCCACTGTGCCCAGCAATGTGTTTGTAAATAAAGTTTTATTGGAACACAGCTACTGTTTTCCTTCTATGAGGGCAGAGTCGAGTAGTTTGGCACAGAGAACATATATGGCCCACAAAGAAGAAATATTACTACATGGCCCTTGACAGAAAAAGTTTGTGACCCTTCTCTGAACTCTGCGACTTAATGACTGCTGCTGCCTTTTGCTGCAAACGGAGATGATGGGCCACCTAAAATCCCTGAAACATGTAATCCCAGCTGCTTGGGATGCTGAGGCAGGAGAATCGCTTGAGTCTGGGAGGCAGAGGTTGCAGTGAGCTGAGATCACACCATTGCATTCCAGCCTGAGCAACAAGAGAGAAACTCCGTCTAAAAAAACATCCCTGAAACATAACGCATAGTTAGGTCTGTTGTCACTTTTAGGTTTTGGCTTTTGTAGAGGGTTGGGAAGTTACCCAGGGGATCTGAGACAGTGTGGACCTAATCACAGTCACTTAAAATGTTTCTTAAGACAGATTATGTTTACATATTTATAAAAGATTTTCTCGTGTCTGAAGACTCTGATTAATTTTATTTATCAGTGGTTACCAACCTGACTGCCCCTGCACCCACCCTGCTGGCGCATGTGCACACACACACACACACACACACGCACATGCACACACATCTACCCTGCTTTCTTTCACTCAACCTCTAAATCTGAGGTGGAATTGAATGGGCTTTGAGCTTGTCTACTATTTCACAAGACTTGTGGTAATTGTACATTCACCCATACTATACATTGCTGATGATTTTAAAATAGAACAACATTTTAACAAACACCATTTGTTTACTAGACAAAATTATAGTAAAAGACACGTGTGAGAGTAAAAATGTTGGAAATCTCTGGTGTATAGTCTCTCTCCGAAAGTCATTCAGTTGTTATTTACCCTCCTTTCTGATCAGTGTGGAATAGACGCATTATGATTTGTCTAGATGGTGACATTCTTGACCATTTCATGGGAAGTGGATTTGAATTTTTTTCTCAAGGTTACTGCATTTTGAATAACCTTTGTCCAAACCAACATTCCCATGTACCTTATGATTGAAAACCCTAAGGGTGGCCGGGTGCGGTGGCTCATGTCTGTAATCCCAGCACTTTGGGAGGCCAAGGCAGTGGATCACGAGGTCAAGAGATCAAGACCATCCTGGCCAACATGGTGAAACCCTGTCTCTACTAAAATTACAAAGAAAAATTGGCCAGGCTTGATGCGTGCACCTGTGGTCCCAGTTACTTGGGAGACTGAGGCAGGAGAATCACTTGAACCTGGGAGGCAGAGGCTGTGATGAGCCAAGATCGTACCACTGTACTCCAGCCTGGTAACAGAGCGAGACTCTGTCAAAAAAACAAAAACAAACAAACAAACAAAAACCCTAAGGGAGGCTGAGGCAGGGGACTCTCTTGAACTCAGGAGGCAGAGTTGCAGTGAGCCGAGATCACACCACTGCACTGCAGCCTGGCGACAGAGCAAGACTCCATCCCCAAAATAAAGAAGGTTATAAAGGGGGTTAAATATCATGAAATATTAATATTAATCAGTAGTAATTAATAATTAAATATTAATTAGTGGTAATAAATATTATTTAATATAGTGACAATAAAATTTAATTCCTTATATAAAATATTAGGGTTTTGATGCAAAGATTTCATGATAATGCTAACTGAGCATAGCAGACTACATTTATTTTGAATTCATTGCTAGAGTGATATTCTGCTAAATACTTTCCAAATATTACCTTGTTTTATCCTCATAAGAGCAATGGCAAATGATTTTCAAAGCCAGATTGCCTGACATCAGAGCCCAAGTTCTGCATAAGGACACTACTGCTTTGCTGTGGCAACTTTATGTATATAATATTAGCCTTTCTTTTTTAAGCATCCATTGTGTGTCAGACATTCTGTTAAGGGCCTTATGTACGTGAGCTCACTTGATTCTCATAGCTAGATAGGTATACATCATTAGCCCTATTTGTTAGATACCCTCTTTGGGGAATTGCATTTATTGGAAAAGTAAAATCGATGATTGTAAATAGAGGAAGTCACTAATACGTACATATGATTATATTTTCCAAATAGGGGCTAATCTTAGGAAGAAATGCAAACTTACTCTTCCATTGTTATAGTTTCCTAGTTTTCTAGCAACATCACATATGCTTACATAATACTGTAAAAACCCTAATTTTTTACCTTTTTTTTTTGTCGGAGACAGCGTCTCACCCTTTCGCCAGGCTGGAGTGCACTGGTGTGATCTCAGCTCACTGCAACCTCCAACTCCCTGGTTCAAGCAATTCTCCTGCCTCAGCCTCCCAGGTAACTGGGATTACAGGCACACGCCTCCATGCCTAGCTAATTTTTTTGTATTTTTTGTAGAGATGTCCAGGAAGGTCTTGATCTCCTTACCTTGTGATCCTCCTGCCTTGGCCTCCCAAAGTGCTGGGATTACAGGCGTGAGCCACCACGCCCAGCCAAGGTTCACCTTTTACTTTCAAAATTTACTCTAGGCCTACTGCATTAACCTGGTGAGACACTTCTGCCTTTGTTTTGGACAATCATTCTTAAATCTGGCTTGTAGAGTAACCAGTAATTGGATCAATCACTATTTCTCACTCTTCTAAAACCATTGTCACCTATTAAAATGCCTTTCCCTCCCAGGTCCCCTTAATTTGTGTATTCATTATAGTCTGGAAATAATAGCAAGATGCTTATAAATGCAACCATCTTCTGTCATTTTTGACCACCTCAACTTCCACTTTTTTACTTAAATAATAAACGATAGGTTATTTTCTCCCACAAGACCAGACAACCACTGAGAGTGGTCTCACATTGTATAAAATAACTAAAATCTTTCTAATCAGTTTGCGCTGGTGCTATTCTTGCTAGATTTCTGGACTTTTCATTTCTTCCTTGGCATTCAGGTTTTGCATACAGTATCTTTTCCCTGTGCTCTGAGTGATCCTGCTCCCTGGAAGCTAGTAATAAATAATGCTGATTTCTACACAACATCGAAGGCATTTGCCCCACTCACACACATACATAAAGCAAAGGTGCAATGAAATCCAAATCATTTGCCAAGAAGATATAGTTTCAGATTCAGCGTTTTAGTATAAACATTTCATGTTAGGATTATGCAGATTCCAAAATATACACCTACCATTCAGTTTCATCCTCAGCTTAGAACCTCTGTCTAATGACTTTTGGGGAAGCAATTTCCTGTCACTTTCTTTGTACCTTTCCCAGATGCAGACTAATGAGAAAATCCCAAATTCCTTTCAGTTTTTTCCTAAATAGTGTTTAGTGATAAATTAAAATGTAACCAGTTAGCCTTAATAATGTATTGGTTAATGTGAAATGGTTTTCTGTTGCCATCTTCTACCACTTTCTTGGTAGGGGAGAGCACAGGCTTTCTTTTCTATTGGAAACCGTACTTCTGTTTTGAGATGAGCTGAAGCAGTCAGCATTCATTTGGGTCATGACCTCCATGGCTCTGAAAATTTTTAGCAACTTCCCACTCAGAATGTGCCTTAATTTTAGGCAAGCATGAACATTACCATTTTCAATTGCTTTTGGTCATTTTGATTTATATTTTTCTAGATCTTTCACTTAAATTATTTTTTTTCTATATTTACAGGCTTCTGGACTTTTTGAATTCTGATACCAAAAGAAGAAGTCAAAGAATTCCTGCTTTGGTATGTAGATGCGTTCCAATGTGTTTGGCCTAAAAGTTATCCATGGAGATTTGTTCAGAGTGCTCTATTTCATTCAACGTAGTTAAAGGTTGATTTCAGTTAATTTCCGTGATGTGATGATTTGGAAAATGTATGACATAAAAATGAGCAACTTAAATGTTAATGGCTTTACTTCCAAGATGCCTAGATATCTTTCTGGCATGAATTTGACTTCAGTCAACACAGCTCGGATATCCTCTGCACATTGAGGTGTTGTACTTACTGCTTCATATTTGGTCCCTAAAAGATGAGTCCAGTTGCTAAACATTTTGTTGGTATGCAGTCCACAGCAGAATGATTGCCATGAGAGGTGCTGTCTGTATAAGTCTTGAGCTTGGATAATTTCAGTGTTTCACGTATGTCTGCTGTTTATGAAGTACCACGTGATGGCTCAGAGTTGCGTTCCTTGTTGAAACTAAGCACAATTCTGGACTCTCATTGTTCTAGAAATGAATGAGATACAACAGTAAGGAAATCCACAGAATTGTAAAATAGAATATTAGTTGTTGGAATTCATTTCTGTGCTGTAGGTAGATGAGAAGATGGCAAATTCCCTCACCAGAAAATTGTACTATGAGTGTTGTTGCTGCTGGTGTTGTTGTTGTTTGTTGTTTAACATAAGAGAAAAGAAGGGGGAAAAGAAGAGTTTGAATGTCAGGGCTTATTGGAGGCAGAACCAAGTTACCATTTGCTATTCCAGAGCCTCTTTGCTGTCCACGTAGGAAGAAACTGTTGACAAAACACTTCCAATCCTAGGAGCATTCCATTGTCCAGCAAAAATATCTTTCTCACTGGTCTGAAATATGCAAGGCAAATTTTGGTATGGGCTTAGAAATCTACTTTTCCATGCTCTGATTTGGAAATAGCGACACTGTTAAAAAAGAGCAGGGACTTAGGTACAGTGGTGAGTGCATCAGACGTTCATTTTGATGAAGTGTTGAGTAGACCAGATGCTTGGTATCAAATGCCTTGATAAAATATTTTGGAAATGAGAGCTGGTTTCCATTACAAAAAAAAAAAATAATAATAAGCCCCTCTGGAGGGATTGACTTATGACTTTCACCATTTTGTTTCCATTTATTTAGTTTTTAAAATTAAGTATATCTGCGAGCACACACCAGGTTTGGACTATAGATTTTCAGAAGTCAGTGTGCTTGACCCTAGATATTTGATCCCTGTTTGTGATTCTTGGTCATCTGCTGTTACAATCCTCGTTAGCAGAACCACATCCGCATAGATAGAGCATTGATGCACATCAGAGCCCCAAACACTTGAATTTTCCAACAATGAGAACATTGGGTGTTTCTCTTGGTGTGTGCTAATGGTATGGACTGATTTTGCAGAATCACTGCAGCAAGCTGTAAATGATGTATGAAATGAAAAATTCCTGTCCAGTGCACAGAGCGAATATATACAGTTCTGTGTGATCACTCTGGTGCTGGGCTATTTGTTTTAATATTTCCTTCAGACATATGGCATTTTTTTTTGGTGAGTCATATCCAGACACTTGCCACTGGCATATAGCTCAGATTTCTGTTACGTATATTTTAAATAAATTGCAGTGTTATATAAGTGTACTTGAATTAATGTGATGCTGGATCGTAGAAGACTTAACCTTTATAAAATATTATTTTTATGAAAACAATATCAACATTTTTTTTCTGAAAAATTTGGAAAATAATGAAAAGCCTAAATAGCAAAATGGGAAATTATCTTATGCCATCATGGAGAAATAGCCATTGTTTATATTTGGTATATATTCTTTAAAGTATTTTTACCCACTGTGATTAGAATATCTTCTTTAAAAACTTATCCTATGGACTTCATTTACACTTTCATTCCCACTAACCAATAGGGTTAAACATCTCCCAGTGGTCTTCTGCAATGTAACTGTTATTCACTGCATACTGTTCACACATGAGTGTAACTCAGAGAAGTTTTACTCATTCCTATTATTGAATAATTAATATTTAGTTTTTTTCTAACTTTGCTAATATGAATAATTTCCTGTATGACTACCATAATGTTTATGTGATTTCAGTAATTTTGGCGTATATTTGCTAATGCCAAACTTGTCTCTGTTCTTCTCTTACAAAATTTTCTTTACTTTTGCATTTGTTTTTTCCTGTTGGGTTTTGACAATGACTGGATTATATTAATAAATTATTGGAGTAGATTTATATCTGTGTAATATTGAGTCATTCCATTGGAGAACATAGGGTGTCTCTATTTATGGGCCGATTTTCTAACATGAATTCATCCTCATGTATCAGAAATAAACCTCCCTAAGTCACAAGAGTATTTTACTTAAGGTTTCTGCATATTATGTACTAGGACAATTCTTTTTTGTGCCACCTTTTTTCAGAGGAGAAGTTGTTTGAAGCCTCTAATTTTCTTTCAAGATTATCGACCTGTTCAGGTTGTTTTCTATTTGTATTTGAATCAAGTTTGATCATTTATATTTTCTTCTTCAAATATCAGTTCATTTAAATGTGTTTTCATAGATGCATACAAAAGATTGTGCTATAATAAAAAATAATTATAGAAATCTATTGTTAAATCACTTTTCTTATTCTCGTTATATCGTTTTTCTTAACTATGCCGAAGGTAGTGTGGAAGAGCCAGCTCTAAAGTTTACTTACTATTTCCAGTTGTTCTATTTTCCTACTAGCTTTTAAAGTTGCATGCATAGTTAATTCAGTTTTTTGTTGTTTACTAATAAAAATATTTAAAACTATGAACTTTCCTATGATTCTAACTTACCTGCATTATATAAGTTTTACTGTTATAGTCTTACTTTATTCATTGTTTAATAACCTAACATGATATTTTGATAGCCTCTAGAATCCAAAATTCTTTTATAAGAGTAATTTTAAATTTTAAAGTGGTTGATTTTATGACATCATCTGTTATTACTAATTTATAGTTTTACTTAATTGCCTCCTAAAATACACCCGTGATGACTTTTACTAAAATTTTGTTCATATATTTTGGGTATAGTATATATGATCATCTTTGGAAAAGAATCCATAGTCACTGGAAATGAAGGCTATTTTCCTTAAGATAGAGAATTTACTAATTCTAAAGCTTTAATATATCCTTTGATCTTCTTTGACCAACTGTGATGATTGTTAAAGTCCTTTATGAAGTTGGTCTTACTATTCTTTAACTTTTACTTACAAAGATATTTACATTCTGAGAGTCAGTGTAATATTATTTGACACATTAATATTGCATATTTGTGTTGACTTGTATTCCCTTAATATAAAGTCTGTCTTTGCCCACTTCATGTGTTTTGCCTTGCATTTTTATTTCTCTAATACTGACACTCTTCTTTTTATTTGTATCTCTTTAATATATCTTCACTCATCTTTTTACTTACTCATCCTTTCTGTACTCATTTGTCTTGGGTGTGTCTCTTCTAATTGATGCATAATTGGATTTGGCTTTGTGAATCAGTCTTCTAGTCTTTGTCTTCTCATGGGGCAATTCAAGCCATTTTCGTACATTGTTATAAATAAAATATTAGCCTTACTGCTTTCTTTATATTTTCTTTTTGATTCTCTGAGTGTGTCTTTCATTATTTTTTATTCTCTGTCTTTGGGCATATAGACTATATGGTTCTTTGTTAGTATTTCATAAAATATATGTTGGTATTCAATTTTATTTGTATATAATTTCTCAAAAGCATTATTTAATCTGTATATCCCAACTGTCAAATTTAAGAGGAAAAAAGCATCATTATGTCTTTTATTTAAATGGAAGAGTTTAGCATACTGCTCATCTCCCCCACCCCTGCAACATACATACCATTGCTCTCCCCAGCCTTGTATCTTGGTCTTTGTTTATAATGTCAGGTTTCAGAAAAGATGTTATTTAATAAAAATCATTAGTCTTAATGCATATGCTTATTTTTCAAAACTGATTTATAGTCAAAAATAATAGAAAATAGTTTATAATTTCTATTTAGCTTTTAAAATTTTGCTATAGTTATTGTTACATTTAATTTAGCTATTCTCAAATGATTCTTACACTTTTTCTTTATTATTTTTGAGTTCTTAGTTTTTTAAATCTCTCAGTGAGTTCGAGTGTGGCTTTAGATAATTTTTCAAGAAAGATGCATGGTTGGTATGTTTTCTGAGTTTACACATTTGTAAGGATTTTTAAAAATTATTTGTTTAGATGTGCAAGTCTTCAATTGTACCATTTCCCCTCAAAATTTTATAATTTTGTTAAATTAATTTTCATATCTGAGGCAAGGCTGTTTTTGTTTTTGTTTTTTAGAAATTGAAGGCTGTGTGTGTGTGTGTGTGTGCGCGCACATGCATGTGTGTGTGTGTATGTATATTGTTGCTTTTCTATGCCTAGTTATTCGTGAGACTTTATTTTTGTGTAACTCAGAATTTTTGGCCAGATCCTGGCATGAGTTTGCCTTGATAATTATCATTCTTTTTATGTGTTATATGGAACTTTTTCAGTTAGTAAATATTTTCATCTGTTTAGCTTAAATTATTCACTTTGTTTGTTTTATCCTGTTTTTCTTTTCAGTAATCCCAGTAGTCTAAGATGTTGAAACAATAAGTTCTATAAAGACAGTGAAACTGATATGGAAATCCCATCAGTTTTATTCACGGCACTATACCTGGGTATAAAGATACAGAGCCCAACACATTCCAGACCCTCAATAAATGCATTTTTAATGGGTAGATGAATGAATGAATGAAAGATAAACCCCATATCTGAATTTATATGTCTTTCCTCCCAGATAATTTTTGTCTTTTTTTTTCTTCTTTTTAGGGAGGTTTTGGGAAATGAGCTTTCTAATTAACAATAAAACGGAAGGCCACGATACTGCTAGAGGGTACTTGGTCTGTGATTTGCTTCCCTGATCCTTCTCCCTTGCCTTCTCTTGAGAATAAGGCTTTAATAGAACTATCTTTGCTCAAGAACCAGGAAAATCT